AAGATACTGGCATAAGGATAAGCAAACAGACCCAAAGGAATAGAACAAAGGATCCAGACACAGACCCAAACACACACCACTACTTGGCTCATGACAGAAGTGCAGTGGGGGAAAGAATGGACATTTCAACAAATGGTGCTGGGTTAAGTGGACAGTCATAAGGGAAAAAATAAACCTCAAACTTTACCTCACAACATTCACAACAATTCATCAGAACCTAAATGTGAAGAAAACAATACAGCTTCTAGAAGAGCACAAAGGAAAATATCTTTGTAACTCTGGGCAGGCAAGGTTTAATATAGAATATTCAAAAGCACCAACAATTTTTTAAATGATATATTAAGCTTTAGTAAAATTAAAGAACTTTTATTCATCAAAAGATGCTATTATAAAAGTGAAAAGGCAAGTCATGCATTAAAGTATTTGTGATACAAAGGTCATATACCCAAAATATATAAAGAACTCCTACAAATCAGTAAGAAAAACATAGGCAAAAACCTGGACATGCACTTCACAAAAAAGAATAGCCAAATAGCCAAAATGCATATGAAAATATGTTCTACATTTTTAGTCATCAGGAAATAATAAAACCATGAGATATCACTACCCACCTACCAGAGTCACTGAAATCGTATAAACCGACAAGACGAGGTGTTGGCAAGGATGGACTTCTCACACACTGCCAGTAGGAGTATAAACTAGTACCACCATTTTGGAAAATTGTTTGGCAGTATTGGTAATATTCCAGTACTGGAAACAGCCCAAATGTCCATCAACAGGAGAACAAATGCATAAATGAGGGAACGACTGCATAATTAAATAACCTGTAGTATTTTCATATAGTATAATACTCTATCACACTGAAATGAAGCAACCTACTGCTTCACCTAACAGTGAAATACTGAAAGCAATCTCTGAAAAGAGGGAACTTCACAAATCCATGTTCAGCAGAAGATCAAAAATAAATAACGTGCATAACCATAACATCATTCAAATCATATCAAAAACAGGTAGGGCGCCTGGGTGGTTGTCAGTTAAGCGTCTGCCTTTGCTCAGGTTATGATCCCAGGGTCCTGGGATCGAGTCCCACATCAGGCTCCCTGCTCAAAGGGGAGTCTGCTTCTCCCCCTTCTCCTCCCCACCACTCATGCTCACTAGCTTGCACTCTCTTTCTCTCTCTCTCACAAAAATAAATAAAATCTTTAAAAAAAACTTACTAAAAAAAGAAAACAGGTAAAACTCAATGTAATGGACAAAGAATAATCTTTTCAAAATATGGTGGAAACAATTCAACATTCATATGACAAAAAAAAAAAAAAAGAACCTCAACCAGTATCTCATACCTTACAGAAAAATTAACTCCAAAATAATCATAGATCTGGGAGCCTGCGTGGCTCAGTTGGTTAAGCATCTGCCTTCAGCTCAGGTCATGATCTTAGAGTTGTGGGACTGAGCCCCACATCGGGCTCCTTGCTCAGCAGGGAGTCTGCTTCTCCCTCTGCCTGCTACTCCCCCTGCTCGTGCTCGCTCATTCTGACAAATAAATAAATAAAACCACAGTGAGAAACCAGCACAGCTAACACCAAAAAACAGCCTAACATATGATGATAGACATCAGAATAGTGGTTAACTTTAGAAGGGAAATGGGGGTGAAGGGAGCGCACAAAGGGGCTTCTTCTATGATGCTAACAATTTTTGATTTCTCGATCAGTTTGGTGAGTTACACAAAGGTGTTCATTTTGTAAAAGCTATATACTTAATGACCATTTTTTTATATGTAAATCATACTCCATTTAGTAAGTACACATTAAAAAAGAAAGTAACTTCCCTTAAAAGACTCCACATGTAGGTGGCTTCACCAGTGAATTCTACCAAACATTTAAGAAAGAAACACTAATCATTAATAAACTCTTTCAAAAAATAGATTCTTATTTAATGATGCCAGCATAACCTGATACTAAAACTCGACAAGAACACTACAAAAAAGTTAAATTACTGAGACAGTCTTTCTCATGGGCTGAGTTGCAAAAATCCTAAACAAAATATTAACAAACTAAATCCAATGATGTATTTAAGTTGGAATTCATTCCAGAAATGCAATTAACATTTGAAAATGATCAATGTAATTCATCAACACGAACAGGCTAAAGAAGAAAGTTCATATGATTATCTCAATAACAGGAAAAATATTTGATAAATAACAAGATTTATAAGAAACACACTTGCTTTCAGCAAAGGAGGAATAGAAAGAAACTTTAGTCTGATACCGAGTGATCTACAAAACAAATTTACAAGCTAAGATCATACCTAACAGTGAAACTTTCAAAGTAATCTCTGGAAAGGGGGAAAAAGACAAGGATGTCTTCTGTTACCACTTCTTTTCAACTTTCTACTAGAAGTCCTAGACAGCGTAATAAGAGGAGAAAAGTTATAAAAGATTGGAAAGGAAGAAAGAAAACTGCCATTATTCACAGTCTACATAATTATACAGTTAACCATTGAATAACACAGGAATTAGGAGTGCTGACACCCCTTGCAGTCAAAAATTTGCATTTAACTTTTGATTCCCACAAAACTTTGCTAATAGTCTATTGGGATTTTGGGGTGGGAGGTTGGTTTTGTTTTGTTTTTTTAGAGCGAGAGGGAGAGAGCATCCTCGTGAGCGGAAGGAAGGGGCAGAGGGAGAGGAAGAATCTTAAGCAGGCTCCATGCTCAGCACGGAGCACAACATGGTGCTCAATCTCACAACCCTGAGATCATGACCTGAGCCAAAATCAAGCGTTAGACGCCTAACCGACTGACCTACCCAGGCACCCCATAGCCTATTGTTGACTGGAAACCTTACTGATAACATAACAACCAATTAACATGTATTTTGTACGTTATGTGTATCACATATTGTATTCTCACAATAAAGAGAAAGGAAAATATTAAGAAAATCACAAGGAAAATACATTTACAGTACTATACATACATATATTTATTGAAAAAAATTCCACAGGGGCACCTGGGTGGCTCAGTCATTAAGCGTCTGCCTTCGGCTCAGGTCATGATCTCAGGGTCCTGGGATCGAGCCCCGCATCCGGCTCCCTGCTCCGCGGGAAGCCTGCTTCTCCCTCTCCCACTCCCCCTGCTTGTGTTCCCTCTCCCGCTGTGTCTCTCTCTGTCAAATAAATAAAAAAAAAATCTTTAAAAAAAGAAAAAAAATTCCACAAATAAGTGGGCCTGCATAGTTCAAACCCGTGTTGTTCAAGACTCAACTGTATATGTAAAAAATCTGAAAGACTCTAAAGTATTAGTCTCAAAGGATAAATCATTAGCCTCTACAAATAAACTACTAAAATCCAAAAGAATCCACAGGTAAACAAGAGAATGAATAAAGCTGAGTAGAATTAAATCTTATACAGCAATGAAAATGAATGTGTTACTACTACACACAACTTGAGTGAATCTCACAGAAAGTGGAGAACACACTAGAAAGAATACATACTGGAGTCCTCCATTTATACATTCAAAAACAGGCAAATTAATCTCTAATGTTAAAACTCCTTGCCATTAGTGGTTACCTTTAGAAAGCAAGGAAAGAGTAATTTAGAAAGGACTGCTAGGGAGTTCAGGGGAGTATTCTAGAGTCTGTAGTATTTTTTACTTCTTGACCAGGGTGATAGTTCATAGGTGACCACAGGTGTGTTCACTTTGTGAAAATTCACTGAGCCACATGCTTTCGATTTGTGCACTTTAACATATATGTTATACCTTAAGTTTCAAAAACATTTACCAAAAATTTTTCTAATCATACTCCACTGCTTAAAACATTTTAATGGCCTCCCATAGCCTAAAAGTAAAATCTAACCTGTTAGGCATGGCATATGATACGGCTCCTACCTTTAACTTCATCCTCACCTCTGACCATCCCACATATACACTTTATATGCTAACTTACCAAATTATTTACAGGCCCAGTGTGTGCTATGCTGCTTCGAACCTTCACGTCAACTTTTTTTTTTCCTAGCAATCTCCACACTCAACATGGGGCTTGAACTCACAACTCTGAGATCAACAGTCACACAGTCCACCAACTAAGCCAGCCAGGCACCCCCCAAGCCTTTAAATATTGTTTCCACTGCTTGAAATTCTCTCCCTCTTTACACCCCACCCACACTCACCACACCCTGCCCCTGCAATTTCCACCCAACTTGGATATTAGCTCCTCCAAGACCCTTCCTATCTCTGTTGCCCAAAGTTAACGGCTCTCTTTCCTATACTCAGTGATCTATTATTGCACATATCAACCCACTGTGTTAATTGTTTATATGTCTGTCCATCCTCTATTATATTAGAACAATTCAAGCACAAGGTCTACGTTTTCCGCTTGGCACGTGGAAGCCACTCAATAAATTTCACCATTATATATATATCCTTATAAATTAAGTCAGTAAAGCCTTCCACAAGGAAGCCTAAGTGTTTAATTTTCTCCATAGTACATACATGTCACAGCAATGAGCACACAACAGGTACACAACGGTGATGGTGTAGTCAGTAGAACCTGTGCCAAAACTCAGTTCCACAGACAAAACACTCTCTTCAAATCATACGCTCACCTAAGGTAAGGTATTCATGTCCTACCAGAAGTGTAAAAAGGTCATCTCTCTTTCATACACACACATTTCCAGAGTTTTGAGCTAAAGAAACCAATTAAGATCATCTTGTCGAAAGCTTTAGGAAAGAACCTACACTACCCCCAGAGGAATTAAGTGGCCCAAAGGGCCAAGACTAGGACTCAGATCCCCTGGCTTCTCATTTAATGCTTTCTCACAATCCATGCAGCCTCCCTTTTAGACTACGTGACTTCTGAAAGTAAGTGGTACAATTGCTCTACTACTTTTTTTTTTTTTGCTCTTCTACTTTAGATTAACACGGTTAGTATCCTCACTTCCAAGATTTTTTTAAAATTTCATTTCAAAATTTGGCTTTAATACATGAATACTAAAAGTACCAACAAGTTCAACCAAGAAAACACCATTTCCAGTTCCAATATCAAGCACTGAAGCATCCAATGGAATCTTGCGTTTTTGCATCCACCTTATTAGCCGATTCATACTCTCTTCTCCAAACCTATTAGAAACAGAGAATCCGTTAATCAAATACCAGAGGAATATAGAGCAAAGATTACAACTATATTCCATTTAAGCAGCTTATTCAATATGCTCAATTAAGCCTTTTTTGAAAGAAAGAAGTAGCATCTGTGACTGCTTAAGCTTCACCTCTACTATTATTTAGGAGAGAATGCCCCCAAGAATAGAACAGAACAGATAAGGTCAGCGTTACTTATTAATGTTCCACTACATCAGCATTAACACTTGTATATGTTGATGGCTCAAAATTTTATTGCTTATTGAAAAAGGACGATCACAGGATGACAGCAACTTCCTAATACAGGTTTCCCCCACTAACTGCAAGCAGAGCATTGCTATGAAATCTTTCCTAAGGCAAAATGGCACAAAGCGAAGAAGCAATGACCAGTAATTTATGTGGTGAAATTTTCTGAGCATTCCCAGGCCCCCAAAATAACCTCTCTTACACGTGATACCGCAAGACACATCTTGCTAACAGAGGCACAAAATAAATCAAGATAAAGCACAAACGCTCACAGACACTGTTCAAAGCTATGGCAGCCTTATGCTGGGATGCTGAGTGTAGTTCCCCAGGGAAGGAGCCTGGGAGCACCACTCTTGCTGCTAGGGGTTGCGCTGCCTCCCTAATGGCTCCCTGAAAAACAAACCGTGAACGCTATTTTTGCTTTTCACCTTTCTTTGTACAAGCGAAAATCTTCGGATTTCTTTTAGTTAGCAAAAACAGGTACTACTGTAAGTCTTTCATAAAAGCCAAGAGGCGTAATGTGGATTTTCAAAAAGCAGGGGATACCTGTATTCTCATCAAATTTAAGTCTGGACCATTAAAAGAGAGAGAAGAGAGAGATTCTTTAAATCTACCCGCTAAAGCCAGAATCAGTCCAAGGTTCCCAAGACTTTCAGGTTGTCTTTCTTTGGGGGTAACCACTTAAAAGACACACACACACTCACTCACTCTTCTGAATCATAATTCCACTATTTTTTCTAACTCACCAGATTTCTCCTGTATCTCCATATTCTTGAAAAGTTTGCAGCTCTCTCTCATAGACAGCATCCCAACTATATAATCAAATGCAAAGCAAGATTCTTGAATCAAACTGAATTACGATTTAAATATGTGTCTAATACATTGTAGGTTTTTAGGACAAGTTTAAAACATTATCAGTATTTTCAGTAAGTGCACGTAGATCAATCTCTTAACCTCCTTATGTTAAAAGAACGAAAGACAGATAAGCGGAATAAGTTTACACATGTAAAGCACTAAGTACAATACCTGACACACAAAAATACTATATATTTTAGCTTAAAAAACAACACAAACAAGTATGTGTCCAAGGATCCCTCAATCCCAAAGTCCAAACTTTCACTGTACAGGCATGGTGTTGTTACAGCACATTTCAGTCTAAAACGTGCAGACACAAAGATTTCCTGCCAATACAGTGGTTACTCGCAAGGGAACTCAACAAACACAAGCTTTGCCTTAAAGTTTAGGGTTTACTCCTTGTAAGTAGTTTCCCCTCCCCATCATGTGCCTTCTCTTCCTACTTCACCTCTCTAGAATCGCTGCTCCCTCTCAGTCCTCCAACTCACCTCTCGTCCTTACCTATTCCCTGTCATTCGTTCACCCGTCTATTAATTCGTTCATAATTACTGAACATCGATCTAAGGTGAGATCACTTTCTCCTCGCTCGCTCCTCAGGTCATCCTTTGCTCCCACCCCTTCCAGCTCCCATGTCCCCTTGCCCACCAGCCCTACGTCGACCCCACCCCCTCGCCCCTTCCCCAAGCCTGCCCCTCTGGTTCAAGACCCCCACAAGGCCTCCCCGAGAGCTTGCGCCCGTTCCGCACCTCACGAGCCCTTTACACGTCGACTCCCTCTTATTCCAGCCTCGGGATTCCAGCCCGTCAGTCCCCTCTTAGCTTCCTCGCGTCACGCCCCCAAGGTCGTCCCCATCTTCCGGGGCCCTTTCCCCCTTCCTATCCCCTCCCCGGGGCCCAGCCCGGGCGGTGCTGCTCACGCTCCCTGCCCGATGCCACACTCACTGCTCTCGGGTCCCCAGCGCCGACGGGGCGAAGCCATCCTCTCCGGGACTGCCCCTTCGGGACCGCTCCGCGGCCCCAGTGCCGTCCCTGTCACCGCCGCCGCCGCTGCAGCCGCTACCGCCGGCGCCCGAGTTCATCCCGCTCCGCGCCCCGGAGGGCCGTTGGGACCACCATAGAGTCGAGGCACGGGCAGAGCGGACTCGTGGGTGGGCGCCTCTAGGCGGCGGGAGGCCACCCTCTCTACTACTCCTGGCCTCCACTTCCTTAGCTCGTCTTTGGTCCTGAGTGGAGGTTCGCAAACCCAGGCGTGGACCGAGGGGGCTCGCCTCCCTCTCTGCCCACCAACGCCAGAGTCAGATGCACCCCCTTCCTGAGGTGCCCGCCTAAGCGCCACTACATTTGGGGACTGCTGTTTGTAAGGGACTGTGAAAAAGAAACAGGTCCAAAATGGAGTCAGTTTTGCTAAACCTCACTAAGACTTAATATCCTACTTAACTGCAGTTTGAGCCTCTTCCAGGAATGGACTTTTAAACCAATCAGTCGAATTTTTCTCGTGGGCATAGTGAGGCAATCTGCCTGATAAAACCCCCGCCTTCCCTTAAGGGAAAGTGATCTTGCCTGAAATAATCCATTCTTTTTATTATTATTATTATTATTATTATTAATTGAAGTATAGTTGACAATGTTACATTCGTTTGAGATGTTGAAATAGTCCATTCTTAACATACTAGCCCCCCCCCTTCTGCTGCCTATAAAAACCTTCCATTTTGTACAACTCCACAGAGCTCCCTTCTACTCGCTAGACTGGGTGTTGCCCAATTCATGAATCATTGAATAAAGTCAATTAGATATTTAAGGTTACTCAGCAGTAGGGTTGCCGGGGTGGCCCAATCTGTTAAGCCACTGACTCTCGATTTCGGCTCAGGTCATGATCTCAGGGTAAGCAGATGGAGCCAGGCATCAGGGTCCACCCTCAACTCACAGTTGGCTTGAGATTCTCTCACCTCTCTTTCTCTGCACCCATGCTCCCCCGCCCCAGCTTGCACGTGCACTCTTGCTCTCTCTCAATAAATAAATAAACGAAATCTTTAAAAAAAAAAAAGTTACTCAGCTGCATTTTTTTTTAAAAACAGGACTACTGAATATACTGCATTTTGGAAAAGGCTGACAATGGGAAAACCACACTACCTGAAGCCAACACTGCTCACTGAAAATGCACAAATCACCTCATGTATGCACGTGGTAGTAGGATCTGGAAAGTGGATGGGGCAGTCCACTGCATTATTTGGCTTCCTGGTCAGAAATTTAATGTGTAGCTGGGATTCTGCCTTAAAAATAGCATCCTGCCCTCTTGACATCACTGCTGGACATGGGAATTTATGCCCAGAGAAATGATTGCCTTACAACACCACCACATCACATCCTCCCCATCCCCCCAAAATACTCCAATCATGGGGGTCAGAGTGTTGTGGAAGAAAGTGCTGGGAGTCAAGATGCCTGGATGCCTGTCTTAGCTCTGCCCCTAACCAGGCACCTGACCTTGTTCAAGACTCCTAACCTTTGTGCGCTGCAACTTCCTCACCTGCACCATGCCTGAAATAGGCGGTGACTGGTTCTGCCAGGTTGCTCCCAACCAATGAACCTGAGATTCATCTGCCTCTTGGTCTGACTACCATTGGGAGTTCTGCAGCATAATGTGAGAAATCTTATGGGCCAAAGGTCGGGGGCGGGGGTGTTCTGTAGCAGCAATGAACTACTGACAGTCCAATGTCCTAGGCAAGGCTCTCAAAAGCCCCTAGGAAGGCTGCCTTCCAACGAAAAGGAATGTTTCCTAGGCCACGTTTCTGTTGACTCAGCAGACAGAAGTCCAATAAGTCCCTAGAGGTAAACAGCACCAACAGTTCACAGAAACTCCAGTTAGGACCGAATGTGCATCTCCTCCTATACAAGATGTTCCAAGATATTCCAGCAACCACTGGTGATAGAATACAGTAAAAGACAGATGGGGATCCATGTGTATAGTGTTAAAGGACTCAAGAAGGAACATAAGTAACCTTATTACAGTGTAATAAAACCACCAAATGCCACAGGCAATTAGTGCTGCCCTGGGCAAATGGTTGTTTTGATCTTTTCTAGGCTCTAGATGCTAGAGAAAGCAAGCTTCAATGTGACTAAGTCTTAAAAAGTTTTAGGTCCTAATGAAAGATAAGGCCATCTTCAATCTGGTGTCTTGCCAACACTGAAGATGTTTTTGCTGTGTGTGATGAACGCTATAAACAGTTGTTGGTATGGAGCCCTGGAAAAACCCTCTGTTTATACAGAGTTCCTGCTCTGGCTCCAGGATTACTCTGGCTGTTTAGTCCTGACGGCTGTGTGGGGCACCACCTCTGATCACCCAGGGCAACAGGATTCTTAGTGGAGGGTGGAGAAGCTCAAGCCGAGGGGAGCTGCCCATCACCAGGGAGAAGGTGGAATGTGCCAAGGAACACAGTCCTCTCACCAGGTGTCCATTACATAGGCAGGGGGAGGCTCTTCGGGTGCTCTGGGTCGCCTCGTTTCCCTCTCATGTTACCAATCCCTGCAGCCCAGAACCCTGCTTACCTACAACTTCCCCGAAACTGCGCTTTCAAGAGTTCTCACACACTTCCCATTTGGCAAACCAAGGGTCAAGTTCCAGGCTTTAACTTCCTTGATCCTCTGTAGAGATCAACACCGCTTAGGATGCCATTCTTGAAAACCCCTCCCTATTTTCCCAGCACCACCTGCTCTTAAGTGAGCCTTTTAAAAAGGGAGGTAGGCACGCAGCTCTAGAGTTGGACTCGGGTTTTGAGCCCTGCCCCTATCTTGTGGGACTACAAGCAAGTTCTTTAAGTTCTCAGGGCCTCAGTTTGCCCATCCTTTCAGAATAGTGCCCCTGGCGTAGGGCCACTGTGGAGATTAAATGAGATAGTTCTTGTGAAATCTTACGTGCCTGACACATGGTAAGTGCTCAGTAAATGCCAGCACGGTTTCTTCAGTTATAAAATAGAGTTTAAAATAGGTCTCTTTGGGGCGCCTAGGTGGCTCAGTCAGTTAAGCGTCTGACTTCGGCTCAGGTCATGATCCCAGGGTCCTGGGATTGAGCCCCTGCATGGGCTCCTTGCTCAGCGGGGAGCCTGCTTCTCCCTCTCCCTGCTGCTCCCCGTGCTTGTGCTCTCTCTGTCTGTGTCAAATAAATAAATAAAATCTTTAAAAAATATAAAAATCAAAAAAATAAAGAAAATGCATCTATTTCAGAGCATTGTTAGGAAGATTGAATAAGTGCATAGAACGTACACATAAAGAGCTTAGAACAGAGCCTGACAGATGGTCAGTGTTCAGTAAATGTTAGGTACTTTTCTTACTATTAGTGACTTCCAATTTCATCCTCTATCCCCTGCTCTAGGCTTTTATTTCAGTGGCCTAGATGTCCCTTGTTATGTGAAACTCAACCTATTCCAAACTGAACTTTCTTGCACTGCCTTCTCCCCCAGCTCCAATGCCTCCAAACCCTGTCTTCCCTGTGTTCTCCATTCATTTGGCCCCTGACCATCCTACCATCGGCCAAAGCAGAACATCATCCTTGTCTTGTCTTTCCCCCACCCTCCACATACAGCTCCTCCTGGTCTCAGGGCTCAGGGGCATTTTTGCCACTGCTCTGCTTTCTCTTGGGCTACTTCAGGCTCACAGCTCACTGGGGCCACCGCAGCCCCTTCCCAGTAGATCTCCCTCACACCATTCAGCTCTAGGCCACTTCTTTGGTCCCAGCTATCCTCTCTTCCCCTCTCTCCCCCCACAGAGGTCCCCAAAATTCAGCCGGGTTTTTTTCTCCTTCGATGCCAGACACCACCCATTCCTTCCCTTTGCATTTTCTTGCCAGATCACCATAGACTATGGAGTCAAGCCACCTTGAACTTCAATCACAACTTAGTTTCTACCAGGTGTGACCTTGTGCAAGTCACTTAATTTAAACCTTTTAGGTCCCAGTTTCCTTGACTACCCAATGGGCATAATCCAAATGAAACTGGACTTTCTTGTTTCTACTTTCAGACCCATCATAGCAGAGTGTGGCATTTGCCTGCATATATGCGCTTACAGAAAGCATTGTTTTGTTTTGATAAATATATAGAAATGGAATCTTACCGTTTGCATTGTTTGCAAGTTGCATTTTAACTTAACAACATTGTGGCAATATGGGACGCCTGGGTGGCTCAGTTACTTAAGCGTCTGCCTTCAGCTCAGGTCATGATCCCAGGGTCCTGGGACTGAGTCCCCCTGGAGATACACCAGGAAGCAAATCAAAGATGAATCCCTGTCTTCATGCAGTTCAGAATATGCCAGGCGAGGAACAAAGGCAACGTGCTGGAGAAATGAATAAAATAGAGTTGATGTGAAGTGGTGATGAGTGGGAAAGGGGAACGGAAAACAGTGGAGGAAGACTGAGAATGTCAGGTGAAGGCTGCTATCTGGTTAGGGTAATAAGGAAGGATTCTCTGACAGGGTGGCACCAAGTGAAAACCTACAAGAGGTTGTCATAGGTTGTATCCCCAGGGAAGCAGAGTCTAACACTGAGATGAACATGAAAGAAGTTTGTTAGGGAGTGCTCTCAGGATCACCACCTCCTGGGGAAGGGAAGGAAACAGAGCTGGGTGGAGGAAGTGGTTGGGCTGGGGTACCACTACAACACCTCAGCTAGCACCCCTTTCCCTCACAGAGCACTCTGGAGCTAAGGTGACCCTTTGGAATTGCCCCAAGTTGGAGGGAAGGAGGTGGACCTTTATCCATCTACATGGATAAAGCCTTGAATGTTGGTTGCCCAGAAAAGGGGGAATGACCTTAGGCAATGTCTCTTTCTTACACTGAGGGTAATCCAGGAGAAAGCAAACAACTTCTCCAGCGACTGGGATGATAAATCTATCAATCCCACAAGGGTGGGTATGGGTCACACATCACAGCATCTAGAGCAGAGATAGAGGAGGAAACCTTACAACTATCTGGGAGAAGAGCACTCTAGGTAAAGGGAACAGCAAGTGCAAAGGCCCTGAGGTAGGATGAGATAGGGATATCCAGGAAGCAGAAAGACTAGTGTAGCTGAAGCAGAGTGAACAAGGAGGGCAGCAGCGGGAAAGGAAGTCAGACGAGATCATTACAAGGTTTGGGGTTA